GAATTCCATTATTGCCAAATGTATTTCAGCCAAATGGTTTAATCATAATTAACCAGGAAAAGTAGTGTTCCTGGATTTTTTGTTATTGATGGATATGTACTTTAGATATTGTGCTGCTGTCAGACTGCATTAGGCAAAATGGAATGATTAGCGTAACTGTAGTTTTCATGGCCTGACAGCTGCTTACTTCGCCTCTAACCTTTATCTGAGCTTTCTGTGCAAGCCCGAACTACCGTGGAATGTAATCTTAATTAGAAGATGTTAGCTAGCAAAATAATGGTTCTAGCAAAAAAATATTCCAACGAAGCCTATGTATTCTTGATATGATAAAACACATTACTATAGATGACAAAAACAAGAGATCATAAATTAACATGTCTTGTTTAAATGTGGTGCTACTAAGCTGATTTTTTTTTTTTTTTTTTTAGTCCTCTGCAGTCACAATTTTAATAAATTTAAGTTGCTACAGCTTGGTTCCAGTTGAGACTACTTTTTTATATTTATGATGCACAGAAAATCAGGAGATTGAGAGCTCTCATTACATACAAAGAAGCAAATACTACTTAAGAGTCTTGAAAGCGGTGTTTATTTTTTTAATTCAATTTAAAAAATATTTTAACAAACATGGCATCCTAAATAAAACCCCCCCTTTTTTTTTTTTTTTTTTAAGAAAAAAACCAAACCAAACAAACAAATGAAAAAAAAACCCCAGACATCCTGCTAATTAAAAAAACTGGAAGATTTAAATTTCAGGTAGAATCCTAACATTTTCAGGAGTGTAAATTTTAACCCTCCCAAGGTGCTGCTTTTGGTGTAAGTCTCTTCTGTGATCCACTCCACAATCTCTGTAGTTGAAAATGTTGGATTATTTACATTGTCTTAATCACCATTTTAAGGACAGTGCACTTAACTCAGTCTCTGCCTATTATGTTCTCATACTTTTGCCCTGACTTTTTTTGCACTCCATCAATTTGATGCTATATAAAAACCTTGTAAATGTTTTAGCTTTTTTTTTTTTTTAAGATCTTTGAAATGCGTGAGGAAATATAAAGCTCAAAATATTTTTGTCTGTTTCAAATTCAGTTTACTTTGCCAGGAGGTGAAAGTTGTTTTTACTTTTAGATGCTATCAGTTTTTATCTTCTGGGGCATGAAGGACAGATACTTCAGACAATGGTACAAAACATAGTGTAAATACAGGGAACGAAGGACATGGTGGTACAGAATCTGGTGCATCTGGCACTGTGACCAGGAGCTAGTGAGCCTGCCTGGCTGGACCTGACTGCTCACCAAGGGTGAACTGATGCCTTGCTACTGCCTTCCCTGGGCTTGATGGCCCAAAGCTGCCCACCTGTGCTAGCACCTTGCAGCTGTGTGTAGAAGATTAGAGCTTTTGGTTTTGGGAATCTTGCAAAGAATCAGTGCAAAATCCAACTGTACATTAAAAATGACTGTCTTGTTTGAAGTTATTATTTTGTGATTTGTGTACATTCTCTTTAGAGTCCATATTGGAAGGAAGCCCTTAATATTTTGAAACTGGTGGTATCTCGATCAGCAAGCCTTGTTGTACCTAATGATATTCCAAAGTCTTATGGAGGTGACATTGGTTCTCCTGAAATCTCTTTCACAAAAATTTTTAATAATGTATCCAAGGAGCTACCTGGGAAGACCTTAGATTTTCATTTTGATATATCAGAGGTAATTATTATGTTTAAATTACAATGCAGTAATTACTTTCTGGTGCAAACTTGGATTTAGTTTCTGTTAGCCTTCTGCATTTGTATGTTTTAAAATAAATATCATTTTTAAGAATGGCAAATTTTTAAGTTTTACGTGCATATTACTAGAGTCATACTGAAAGATAAACATTTTGCCTTTTTTCACTCTTTGAATGTCTGAATGAGAGTTAATTACCAAAAGTCAGTAGGATTTTTCTCAAGGGTATTTCACCTGTGTCAGAGAGCAGGCTAACGCAGCTGGCTGCTGCTTGCAGCTGAATGTTCCAGGCTTTCATCAAACGGAGGGTTGTGCATTCAGGGGCTGAGAGGATTAAAACCCTGTACTGCACTTTTGGCATGACTTCGGAGAAGGGAGAAAATTTAAAGGAAAGGATTAGGATACAGAATATAGGAACCTCAGTGTGAGGTGGACACAACTGGAGAAAAACTTCCTGTAATTAAAAACAACACCCCTGCTCCCCAATTAGGGTTCGTGAGAACTGAAAATAATATATTAATATAACTGATACTCATTCTATGTCTGAAAAGGGAAGCATAGCCAAATGACTGCACTGTAATATAGGGATGTGAAAGTTGTAGAAACTTGAGAAGTAGTAAATAATAAGGGCTCCTGGTTGAAGCTGACCCTGGATAATGACTGGAGATATAGATGTCTTGGGAGCATTACTTAAATTGGTAAGTTAATTTCTTACTGGAAATTTCAGTGCATGCAAATAATTGACAGACAAGATGAATTCCCACAGAGTTCATTGGAGTAGCATTTGCTGTTGGAAGGGCTGAATTTGATCTTTGGTTTTCAGAAATCTGTGTGTTAGTGCAGTTGCTACTCTGTGAAAATAATTTGTTCACGTCTGTGAATGATTCTGTAGGAAGCTTTGCATCTTTTAAACTTAGAACACAGTTGGTTTTAAAGTGTGTTTGAAAAAATATAACTGGATTGTCAGCATAAAACTTGCATAATTCAGAAAAATCACAAGTTGGCAGAATGGCAGTCTTCTGCATAGAGTAGAAGTATTCAGCTTTGTATTTGCCAGCATACCAATGCCCAGTGGATTAGGCATGGGCTTCACAGAATGCTTAAAAAAAACCCCAGACAAACCCTCCTACATTTTATATAATACTCAATTCTGAAATTGAATGTGTAGTCTTTACTAATACAGATTTGAATTTTAAGAAAGTATTTGTTGTCTTCAATAGACACCAATTATTGGGAATAAGTATGGTGATCAACACAGTGCAGCTGGTAGAAATGGGAAGCCAAAAGTCATTGCTGTTACCCGGAGCACTTCTTCAACTTCATCAGGCTCCAATTCAAATGCATTAGTTCCTGTCAGCTGGAAGAGACCACAACTGTCTCAGGTACGTTGTGTCTCAAGGACATTATACATATATTATAGACAAGTGTTTATGAATGTGTATAAAAAAGCTTGTTTAAATGTAATTTGAAGGCTGTATAGCAAAACAATAAATGTATACATCATAAACTAAGAGCTAATACTGGTGAAAACAAAAATTGGTAAGATTGTTTTAGAGGATGTCAACATGCAAGATGACTAGTTAAAAATGCAGACAGTTTGCATTTTTACCTGGACCTCAAGCAAATGCCTTGCTATGTGATTTTCTTTGTTACATTTTTCAGAGGAGAACTAGGGAGAAGCTAATGAACGTGCTTTCTCTGTGTGGTCCAGAATCTGGTCTTCCCAAGAATCCTTCAGTAAGTGATGATGGTGGTTTGGTTTGGTTTTTAAATTCCAGTAGTGAGAATGCTGTTGTGTTTTCAGGTATTGATGAAGTTATAAAGAGTGGTTTTTGACAAACTGGTTTTGGTTCAATAATTCACAAATCCAAGTGAAGAATTAAAAAGAGATGGAATCATAAGTAATGAATTACTGTTATTCGTCAAGTAGTCCAGTGGGCACTGTTTACTGGACAGGCTTCAAGACAGTATTTAAATTCAACCAAAGCTAATGTTGCAGTGTCAGGGAGTTTAGGTCAGTCTTATAGGGTGACGACTATATGTTTTAAAGCAAAGGTAAATTACTAGTATTAATTCTTAATTTTTATCTTATGTGGTTATTGAAACAAGATTTTTTTAAAGTCTTTGGACTGGAACTCAAATCTTTCCTCTCCAGGAAAAGAGCTGCTACTAAGGAGCTCTGTTCATCAGACTGATCCTTAATACTTTTTCTCAACATTTTGCATTATTCACAGAAGAGCAGGACTACACTGCCACTCTGAATAGTGTATTGTGTGTTCAAGGCTGCACATATGAATTTTAATTTTCTTGCCTAGAAGAGGGACTTGGAACTAGATCTTCTGAGTAAATTTCTATCTAGTCCATTATAAATATGATGTGCTTTAGAGAGAAGGGGCAGCAATGGCTGAGGACTGCAAGGATGTTGATGCTGTGTTGGAAATACCATAGAATCCATTGAAAATGACCAGTGGATCACATGGCTTCAAACTAACATGGACAGCAGTAGGAGCAGTAGTCTTAACTTTTGAGTAAAAATAGGCCGATGATGTTACTTCTGTGTACAACACAGGAAAGGCCTCCATTGGCGTACTAAGCTTCATGGTGGTGATGACATTAAGAGCTTTCAAAATAAAGTGAGTTATCATCTACCTTGGTTAGCATCTAGACTATTTTTTTTTACTGTGACATAGAAGGTCTTTGCTGGGAAAAAATATTGATGGGAAGTGGATCTTTAGTAGAGGAGTGTAAACTAAATAAAATCAGATGCCTGAAAGCTGAAACTGAAAAGATTTTTGAAAGTTCAAATGGAAATAAACAGCAAATTGTAATTTCTGAAGATTATCATCACTGGAAGCCAGCATTGGATGCCTTGTTATACAGCCCTTCCACAGAAACTGATAGGCAAAAATTACATGGCCTGTGTCATGTGGGTGATTACTGTGATGGATTTTTTGTTCTTAAGTTTGACTAACATTGTGGTTATGAAAATGAAGGTTCAGGGATATATTTTTTTTCTTTATTTGTCCCTCTGCAACTCTCAGTTACATTAAGGAGAGAATTATATCAGTAGTTTACAGATATAGTTTAAAATCCAACTAGTCTTGAAACAAATTGCAGTCTGCACTTGCCGTAGTGTTACCATGATAGTGGTAAGGTAACTGCCACTAATGCCATTAAATTGCAGGGAGCAGGATAGCTGATTTTTGCAGTTACAGAAGTTGGAAGTTTTTATTTCTATACACCTATCTGCAGGTTGTGTTTTCTTCTAATGAAGACTTGGAAGTTGGAGATCAACAAACTAGTCTTATTTCAACAACAGAAGAAGTGATTCAAGAGGAGGAAGTGGCTGTAGAAGACAATACCAGTGAACAACAGTTTGGAGTTTTTAAAGACTTTGACTTTTTAGATGTTGAATTGGAAGATGCAGAGGTGAGACCTTGGGATTTCTTCTGTGTATTTCCATTTGAGAACATTTTAAAAATTAGGTTATGTTGGTGCAATTCTGAGGAATTGGCAGCTCTTCTAACTAATACAATTGGGAAGAATTTATGACACGATTGAACTTAACTTGTACGATAAAGAAACCTGTGGCACAAACTTTGCAGTGTGAGTTGTTGCAAATTGTTGAGTGTTTCTTGTGGGAGGGTTGGGATTTTTGGGGAGAGATTAACTGACTGAACCTGAAAGTGAAGTGATATGACAGTATAAGCCGATAATGACAGGATAAACATCTAGGTATGATGCAGTAGAAAACTTAATTATGGAACAGTATGTTAAGAAAATTGTGTAATCTTTGTTCCTGATGTTTTTGCATTTTGAAAACATGAAGAATAGCTTTGAAAGTTACAAACTGTGTGATATACTATCTCATTATATACAATTGACTTGGTCATCATAATTGCTTGCATTGACTTTGACGTTATATCTGCTTTGTTGCTGTTCTTACATTTCCTCTACTTCTCTTTCTGTCAAAAAAGAGAGAGGGGAGGTAAAACAAAAATGAATATCAAGAAATAGTAAAGATTCTGTTAACAGTTGTTACTTGTTTGGGATAAATAAAAGCCTTGAGTCCAGAATTTGTTAAAGCTTAAAGTAGGACTGTAGAAGGACTGGGGAGAAGAAATCAAATGCTTTGTAGTTTATGTCAGTGCTTTTGTTGCAGTCTAGACAAAATATTGAATTAGTAATGGAGACTTTTGCAGATCATGAGTCAACAAGTTACTATGAAGAATATCTGCCTATCTAAACCCTAAGATTGTTCTTCTGATTAATCTAACCCTTTTTACAAAATCTTGCTCTTTTTTCCCCCTAATATTTTAGCTTTATTTCACTTTCTTCATGCCTCCTGTGTATTGCTTCACTTCAGCCAATATTCGCATCCTCTAGGAAAAGTACAGGCTCATTATAGTCTATTGCATATATGTGACCACATACTATACAGATACAATTTCCTATATTGAAGTATTCAAACAGTTCAGAATCATCAAGGCTCAATAGTAGTATAATTTTTTTTTAACACTATATGGGACTTTGCAGGTAGGATGCCAAAATTTGAAAACTTTGCCAAACCAAGTTAATCTTTAACTTAATTTTCTATATTACTTTAATAGCAGAACATAATGAAGAAAGGCAATTTCTTTCTCATTACTTGCCTGTATGCAACATGTAGTGCTATACTTTCAAAAAGAAAAAAGAAAAAAAAAAGTACAACTTCTATGCATTTAGGGCATTACATATACATGATGCACTTGATATAAGAGCTGCTCAGCTCTGCACTAGAAATAGAGAATGTTCTTTGTTTCTAGTAATTGAATGTCAACAGTATGAACTGGGGCTTTTACGTTAAAATCTGAGTAATGTTCAGATTAAATTTAAGTGCTTCAGCCCACAGTGGTACTACTTTGTTGTTGTTGAGATTCTTTTGCTTTACCATAACTTTTCACCTTTTTTGGAGCAAAACACAACACTAAGAGAGAAAGAGACTGCAAAATCTTTAGTTTACTCTGCGTGTTTAACACGTCATGATGATCTCATAAGTCACCACAAGAGACAATCAGTTTTGGAGCCCATACTTGCACATTCGGGGCTAGATGTGGGATTTTCAGAACTGTCTGTAGACTAGCAAAGTGAACTGATCAGGTTTTCCGTCTTACTTAGATGGATTATTGAAGTTTGACAAAGTTCTTGAGAGAGATTGTTACTGTACTTATGAATTAAAACACTCCTGTTTTGAAGATACGGATTTCACTTAGTATGTTGGGTGTTTAAAACTGAAGTATCCCAGCTTTGAAATGTACAAACAGAAAGGATCTTACTGTTGGTGCATTTCATAAAACTGACACAAAGTAGCTGGTGGAACAGTTAATGAAGACATGGTTTTTCTACAACCTGTAGAACGTTGTAGACATTCAATTAATGTTGGTGGTACTTTGTCAATTTGATGTGGTCAGTTTAAATTCATGTGTGTTAGTTAAAGAATTTAATTTAATGTTTGTTGAAACAGTTGCTTTACATGTTACGCTAGAGAAAATGTATCATGAGCATGCTGGTTTTAGTGTTTTGTCATCATTTTGTTTATTTTTTTTTTTAATCAGTCTCCCATTAGAAAGAGAAATTATTTTAAATACTAGCTTTTTGACTAAAACTTTTTTTCAGAGCTTGAATCAGTCTCTTACTGTTGGCAAATCTTGTGTAATAAAAGATTTTTCCCTGGTTCTAGAGTATCTTTAAGTGTTTGTCCTCGTTCTTTCTAATTATATGTGTTTTCCTTTTTGCTAACCAGGAGCTGCAGGTAAGTTGCAGCCTGGTGTCCTGGCTTGTTCCTCTGTTGTTGTCTGTGGTGTGTTTGTTCTTTCTAGTCAGATATATAAAATTGATACTGATATAGTTCTAGATTATATATTGAGTTACTTTCCAAGAAGATATTCAAAAGATTTCTACTTCATTTGCCATATATTTTAATTTATCTACAAACATCATTTAACCAAGGTATTTAAAATTTTAATAAAATTAAAGGGCTGATTGAAACTCTGTTCATAATGCATTCAGTATTTGTGTTTTCTGTATTGCATTTGTGTATTGATTTTATTATGTTGAAACTCGTACATACATACATGTGCAAACCTTTTTATTACAGGGTGAAAGCATGGACAACTTCAACTGGGGCGTTCGCAGGCGCTCTCTGGACAGTATTGACAAAGGAGACACACCGTCTCTTCAAGAATGTCAGTACTCTGGTAGCACACCCAGCTTGAACTTGACCAACCAAGAAGATACTGATGAGTCTTCAGAAGAAGAAGCAGCCCTGACTGCCAGTCAGATACTGTCTCGTTCACAGATGGTAAGTTATTTTTCTGTGAAAGGAATCTGAGAACTTAAGCTTTCACTTGTACATTTAATGAACAAATACGGCTTACACTAAATTAATGTGGCTAAGCTTCTTTTTCATAACAACATCAATGAAGGAAAACTTACTCAGATAACAGGTTTATAATTCTAGTACAACATTCATATTTTTTTCATTGTCTTTGTACTTACTATATTTATATAAATACAAACACTACATTGCATGTGTTTATAATAAAGTGTGTGTCTTTTTAGATTCCTAGCTTTTAAAAAAAACTCAATATAGTAAATAAGAACAAGAGCAGTAAGTGATCCCATGGGAGCCTCAGTTGTGTTTAACCACTGAAATTGCTAATTTAATTATGGATTTTGAAACATATGTGCATATAACTGAGGAAAGTTAAGAATGCTGGCCACTCAGAAGTGTCTCTGCATTACATAAATTAGGAGAAAATTGACTGGATGGGGAGCAGCAGTAATAGTATGCCACTTTTCAGACTTTAGGCAAAGTTTTATTAATATTGGCCATAACAAAGAGCTCTGCTCTTCAGTGGTTTTGGTCTAACATTTCACCAGTGCCAAAGACCTTTAAGAACAAGAAAGGAAATAATTTGCTGGATCCCAAGGATAATCTCAAAGTTATCTTCAAAGTTAAATGTTACGAAAATGTATGTGATGCTTGCAATAGCTCTAGTGTAAAGCTGTTAAACTTGTAATATGTAAATAAATTCAAATATCTAAGCATACTGAAACAGCCTATTTCAAAATTAATGTGTTTTTACCCCTGTAATTTGTATGTTTTGTAAACTATGAAGAATTCAACATTTCTTTCTTTTCTGTTAGTTAAACAGTGATTCTGCCATAGATGAAACAATATCAGATCATGCTGGTTTATCACTTCAGTCTCAAGATTCCACTAGCAGTGTGGGAACAGAAGAGGTGCTTCAAATCAGAACTGAGACCCCAAGTTTGGAGGCTTCTCCTCTAGATAACTCTAGCAACCAGCTGCCTGAGGTGGGGAGAAATGTGGGCTGGTGCATGGCTGATTTGGGCTCCTTCTAGTGTTCAGTAGCAACTTTGGCTTTCTTTTCAACTGAATTTTCATCTGTTACGTTGATTATTTGATTTGCTTTTAATATTTCTAACCTGTTGGAATGTTCTTACAAAATGTTCCCTCAGTATGAAAACTACTTGGGATGGACGGAGGGAACTTACTACAGGTTAAAAATATTCTTGACGGGCTGGTAATGATCATTTCATGGTGCAGAATGAAAATAGGCTAATATGGAAGATGCTTTTACTTGATATGGTTGAAATCCTTCTTGAGCAACATTTTCTTTCAAATACTTTTTTTTTTGCTTTCTTTGGGTTAATATGATTGGTGCTATATGGGAATAAAACCTCAGGCCAGCTGTGTTAGCAATTGGTTCCATTAAATAATCCTTTAAAAAAGACCACAGATGCTAGTGGTATACTTTTTTGTAAAGGCCTGTGTGGACCAAGACAGATTTCAAGCCAATGGCCGCCTGCAAATCTGTGAGTACTTCAGTTTCTTGGTTTTTAAAATCTTTTGAATAATTTGAAATTTAAAAAACCTAATTTAAAATAAAACTCTCGTCTGCTACAATTCCTACGATATTTAGCAGTTGTAGCTAAAACCTCTATTTGTTGGGGTTTTTTTCTTGAATCTGAAGTGGCTTTGTTTAGGTGGACTTTTTATCTCTTCAGTTAAAATTATTGATGCTACTGGCAGTCTTATTTTTATTTGGACAAGCATTGCTAATCCCATCTTTAACAGCATATACGGTTTTATTGAGTTTTCCAGAAAATTAAACTATTCCTGCATGTATTTGAATAACCAGTGCACAGTTTACACTTAGGAATGAGTCTTCAGCCAACTTGGTTTAAACAGTTGACTGACTGGTTCAAGTGACTGCTGTTTCTGAACAAAGGCTCTAGCCTACCTGTTTGCTACCTAGAAAATCACTCTTATTAACAGGTGAACCACCCACCTAGCTAACATTTAATGAAGATAACTATAAGAATAAAAGACATACTTAGAGTACAACAAAGGGAAAGCGTGGGTGACTGGCTTCCTGTGATAAAATCCTCATCTTCTAAAAGTGACTTCTAAAATTGTGACTTTTATAAAGCAGCTTTTTCTCACATTTTCCCGTTAGGATTATCTGGATGGGGGGTTTTTTAAGTGTTTGGGTACATTGCAGTTGATACATACTCTCAACTTTTGTAGATTTTTTTTTTTTTTTTTTTTTTTTGTAGAGCACCTGTGCTTAGATTGTCAAACAACAAATTGTTCTGTTAGCGCTTTATGTGGTTGTCTGCAACATGCATTTTTGTTCCAATAGAATTTTGGGTGAGGAAGAAGAACACTTAATCTGGATTTTTTTTTTTTCCACATAGGATAGATGTTTTATGTTAAGATTTCAAAAAGGAGAAACTGGGATTTTATAGAACTAAATTCGCCATGATAAAACTTTTTTGTCTTCTCCATTGTTCAACTGTGATACTTTCTCAACTGTAACTCATTTTTATATTTTCGTAGTTTTTTCTGAGACTGCCTTTATACTTGGATTCATTGTTCTTCTGCATCTCCCTTTATAAAATCACTGTACTTCTGGTAATCCAGGTGAAAACATTCACAGAAAAACAGCACCAATGTCACTAAAAATGCTGAAAACATTTAAACCAGGCTGTTAATTTCATGAATAGGCAGCATCCAGAAAAAATTGCTATATCAAAAAAAAGAAGAAAAGGCTACAAATGGATATAAATACAATCACTAAATATGATGTATTCTGGCTTTATTTTGTGCTTGTTAGAACATGGAATTCAGTCAAATACATGTGTTTTCTTCAAGCGCAGTTCAAACACTCATCTCTCGACAAGAGTTAGCTATCTAGTTGAATTTTGTTGCTAAAAGTAGAGCTGGCTTTATGCCTCTTAACAGAATGAGCTTGAAAATACACACATGATCAACTCACTTTGAAAAATTTGTGAAGCCAGTAAAACTGATTTTGTTCCAAATTCTTACACTGCATGACTCGCAGCATAGCGCAGTTGTTTTTTTCCTATGCTCGTATACTTTATATATAACTCTTTCAACATGGGCATTACATTACGTGCCAAGTGTCAGTTATCAAAATATTTTTAATATATATCAAAATTTATCTAAGGTAAAATAAAAAAAAATTGAAGCCATTACTTAAAAACGTGTGTGTGTGTGTGTGTGTGCTGCTTAGATGCAGTCAAGTTCTTTATTTCTCTTGTAGGGATGCTGAAGAGTTAAGTAGTTTACTTAAATGTATTTGACTGATTCCCAGTAATAGCACGTATCTTTGCAAAAAAGACAGAAAGGACATTGCACATTCCAGTTCAGAATGTACGGTCTCACTTGTAAGAATATTTTCAGTTTTATACAATAAGTTTTACAAGCTTAAGTATATGAAAGTTTCTGACTAAAATTATTCGCTATTTTACTCACTTGCAGTGTGGACTTACGAAGGAATAGTTTACTAGAAGTAATTTTCCTTAGGTTCTGTGGTTTTGTCAACTACATAAATCACATTTTCAAGATACTTTTTCAAGAACATGCATGTTGGTAGTAAAGACATGTCCAGTGTTACACAGAAAACTTCAGAAATCAGGAGTCATGGCACTATGAAGACTAACTTAGCTGTAGATTTATTAACTAGTAATTAGTACTTAAATATTCTCTAAAAGAGTGTCCCTCGTATGTACGTCTTCCAGACATGATCAGTGCAGCTCTGTATTGTATCTTAACATCTGTAATAGAAATGGACCACTGCTTCTATGCAAATTATTTTGCTGTGGTATTGTAAGAGTCTTGCGTTGCTGTGTGCTCAGTGTGACAAAATGGCTGTTCTGTACAGTAAGATTTCAGATTTAACTTTTACGAAAGAGGCATTAGAAGTGAGGTCACTAGCTCTGTCAAATGACAGCAGTGTCACAGAGGAGTACCATAGTCAAAGTGAGACAGGTTCACTGTGAAAGAAAATGATATAGTTCTGTTTAAAGCTGAATTGTCTTTTTTAATATGTGTGCAGTTACTTATCTGTCAGAGGATCTCTTTAGACTGATGAAAGCTATGATGTGCTGTGTATGCTTAGAGGCTGTCCAAAAGTTTGTTGACCAGTCTTGGATATGCCAGTAGACAAAGACCAGCACACTAGGAATGAAGATGTGTGATAATTTGTGCCTTTAGGAAATAGCAGGTACATGAAACTGTTATTTTTATTCCACAGGAAAATCCAGTAAAAGGTTTCAAATGGATTCATCATAAATTAACTAAGTCTGAATCCCCCTGTTCAATATAGCAATGTTAATGAGTACAATAATGTTAATGGAGGAAGAGGGAAGGGAAAAAAGGTCATTCTATTACCTACCTGAGTTTAGTCATCATCTCTTTATAATTACCAATGATTGAAAGCCTACATTTAGAGTTTCAGAGTTTTAAACCCTTAAATCTCCCCTTTAACAGTACTCTTATTAACAGTAATGGCAAAATAATAAAAATAGTGGAATGTCCCTTTTCCATTCTTCATGTGTTACATTGTTGGTCAGTTATGCTTTAGAAACTTGTTGAAATGGAGAGTGGAAAGGAGCAGAAATGTTGTGTACTGGTTCCAGACCCCAAAGGCAAGCATGAGGCAGTCGTTTTGGTCCTTACCTAGAAAAGTAAAATATGAAAGTGTTGATTGTGTTTGTTGTGATGTAAATGTGTTTGAGGCTATTTGCAGGTATTTTCCTGGGAGTGTTCTCTTAACAGATTTAATTGAGTATATTTGAGAAATTGTATTTGCTATAAATAATAAGTCATATTCTAGGCTATTAATGTTAACTAAAAGTTATAAACATTACAAATAGACTGCCCGTCTTTGCTCAAATAAAACTGTGTGAACAATCCAAAGCACTGAATGATTAAGGTATAAATGGATATTTGTAAACATTTTTTAATAACTGTTACTTTCCCTTAATGAAAACTGGTAAGAATGCATAAGCCCTGACAATAAAAGTAATAACAGTATCTTTGATTCACAGGAAGGTGGTTCAACAGTAAGGGATGAACAGGTTAGCACTGCTAGTGAGGATACTGGGTCGTATTTATTACAAGAACAACAAGACTGTCTGGTCTGTCATGAATCTCTTGAGTTGGAAGAGGCTCCAGAACTGGCAGAGGCAGCAGCTCCTGAGAGCTATTCTGAATCTGTCTGTGAAGAGGATGTCACTCTTGCTTTGAAAGAGCTAGATGAGAGGTGTGAAGAAGAAGAAGCTGACTTCTCTGCTTTGTCTAGGTAAGATTAATATTGGTTCTAAGTGATAGAAATTACATGTTATCAGTTCATGAATCAGCTAAAGACTTTGTCATGGTGTGAGGTTTTCCATGAATCCCATAATAAAAGTGTCTAAAATGATGTTTTGTGTGTCTGAAATAATGGTTGTTTGGCCTTGCATGTTGTAGGCAATAAGCTCAGTGCTTTGCTCAGCAGGTGTTTCTCTACAGGGAAAACAGCTCTGCGGGAAAATATGAGAATTCTTGAATAAAAGAAATCTCACACATTTCTTTACCATCAATAGGATAGAAATGGGAAAAGAGGTCAGAGGATGTTTTTGGAGCATTTTCTTGGCAGCCACCAGCTGCAAACAGTTTAACATAGAAAAGTCCTTGAACTGCTCTGAATTATGGCAGAACCTATTTTGGCACCCAAAGACAGGAAAAGACAGGAAAAAAAAATGGTTTGTTTTGTTTTTAATCGAAGCTTCTGTAGGAGTCAGGCCAGTTTGTCTTTGAATTTGCCCAAGGTTTATTTTTAGTGTTAAGCTGAATTACTCTTGTATATTTGTAAGACATTTTTAAGTAAGATAACATTTTCCCATTTTTTAATATGGAGAGCAAAAATAACTATTGAGAGGAAAAGTTATAGTTAGTTCTAGCTGATTGAGTCATATTTAAAGTGAAACCCTTAGTCCCTTGAAAGTAACAGTCTAAGAAGGAGGGAAAACAAACCAAAAACCCCAAAACAAAAACAAAACAAAACTTCCAAATTGTTCATAGGCCTGTTCATACTTAACATTTGTTCAGAAGTTTAGATTGAATAATACATAGACTTAGTGTATATAGGAACATAGAGTTAGTGTACATTCTGTCAGAGAGATCATTTAAGGAGCCTTTTACAGAAAAGGACACAACAGGAGCTGTAAAAGACTAAGTCATTTGAGAAGGTTCTACTGGAACAGGGACAGAGAAATTAAATCTTTGAATCCCATGTACAACCTACTGCAATATGCCTTGCAAGAATTAAAGGCCAATATCAGTTAATAGCAGTTTATTTCCTAATGTACAACTGAAAACATCTCTTAAGGTTTTAGTTCATTTCCACTAAGTGAACAAACAAAAACCCCATAGCTCTAATTTGAAGAGTGACAGAAGTGATTATTTACAGGGGTGATACACTAGGTACAAAATATTTGAAAATCTTCCTGAAGCTTTGCTTACAGATATTATTCAAAAGGATTGCATCTTAGCTTTTGAGCTTTGTGCTACTAAAATGAATGTACCTAAAAACAGCACCCACACTTCTTGTTTTAAACATGTTTAAGTCTTGTTTAAGACATACTTGGTGCTGCTGTGAATAAGTGGTTGTTGTAGAAAAAAACAGTATGTGTTTAAAAAATTGTTTAAATAAACTATCTGTACTTGCAGTCCTCCCACGAATATTTTTGCTGAGTAAGTGCAATTATACAAGAAGAACTGTCAAAATGTATCGTTCATTGTAATAATACAGAAAATGTTAACAATTAAGTTAATGATTGTAAGTAGTAGCATTGATTAATTTATAGTTTGATATTTTTATTGGAGGTTTGGTGCCTAATGGAAAGTGTGACTGCAGAATGCTCTTTGAACAAAGGCCTGTTAAATTGATTGCCCATAAAAATGAAAGTGTCTCTTCATTCACTTATGTTACTTAAGGCAGTTATAAAATAGTATTACACTGCTAAATGAGTTTTTGTGTTTCTCTTAAGGAAAGATAATTTGTTATAGATACTGGTGGACCATATGTTTAGATGAATAAAAATTTGAAGAATTGAATGTTAATTCAGTTATTGGGGGCAAGAAAAAAAATAAGTTTGAGTGGTGTGTATATATAGTGCTGTATATAGCTATATATAACCTAGAGATAGCCCTTTGTCTGTAGATATGCATAGAAATAACATGTTTTAATAAACTTTGGAGGTATTTGAGAGTATAAGCAATCTTTTGTATTGTAGTAGCAAAAGTTTTTATTTTTTTACTCTTTTCTTGGTTCAGTTGCCTTAGTTGCTTTTTATTTTACAAAACACTATTCTGAATTCCAAATTCTACTTTTTTGCTTCTTAACAAAATGAAGGGTTTTTCCCCTAAAAAATTTACTGAGGAGTTTGTTTCTGTTTTTTGTTATTTGTAGCCAAGATGAAGAAGAACAGGATGGTTTTGCAGAAGTACAGACTTCTCCACCTCCTTCACCGTTTCTTTCTGCCATATTGGCAGCTTTCCAACCCGTGGCATATGATGATGAAGAGCAGGCCTGGCGCTGCCACGTCAATCAGATGCTATCAGATACAGATGGATCTTGTGCTGTCTATACATTTCACGTCTTCTCAAGATTATTTCAGGTCAGTGAATTTCCAGTGTGTGGTTGTTTTGTCTGAAATAATTTCGTCCTGCTTTCAGAACTATTCTTTCCCTCTGTAACTGCAAAAGCCGTAAGATTATGGTAGCAGAAGCCTTAGAAAGCAAATCAAAGCAAGAAAAAAATAACATTGCTAAAAACATGTATATGGTCATACAGTATTTTCCATGGGATATGTGCCGTATTTATTGTCTAGGAGTGATTCTACTCAGAAAAAAAAAAACAGCTCAAAAAAAGTTTCAGTGTTTCTTGCATGCTCTTAGTGCAGGTTGTCTCTCTTTATTTTCTAAACGTCACCTAGGTTCTGTGCTGATTACAGAATTAATGACTTCCTCCAGGGTTTTGTGTGAGATTCATTATTACAGGATCACAGCATGACAGGCAGTAATGAATTTATCTTGCATCTGTCTTGTGATAAAAGGTTTTTTTTCTGCAGAGAAGTAATTGAAACACCAGGAGATCCACTAAAGCTGGAAGTTTCAAATGCCTCTCTAACTATATTTTCTTCATCCAGCGCAAAATGCCTATGGCTTAATTTTTCTGGCTCCCTCCTCCCTCTATGTAGGGGGTGTGTTTTTTACATTTTCAAAGTGGTACCACGTGGACATTATTCTTTGCAACTTCTTATGGGATAGGAGAAGCACAGTTATTCCATTTTATTTACAGGCAATGTGCTAAGTGAGCTAAGAGCAGATTCAGTACTACAAACCAAGACCTTACAACTCCAACCCTTTCTTATATCTCCAGAGTTAATTTTGCATGCTGTTTGGTGTATCGTAATAAATTTCTCATTGAAAGTCTCACTTTATTTTACCACAGTAGCACACGCTTTATCCCATATGTATGGGCAGGTTTAATGTTAGTACCATGAGTAACTTACATGTGGAGAATTCATACTCTACCTTATCCATGGAATAACTTGTTTGTGTGTCTATACCCATTTTCCATTTTTAGTTGAGCTAAGCATTTTGCCACAGTGCTGCAAAATTCCTGTTACTGGTTTTAGATTTTTCTCTTTTTGCTTCATCTAGACATCACAGATTTAGTTGCTCTGTATTATATTAAAGCTTAGCTGCAGTTGGTTATCACACTTTAATTCATTTCCTGAAAGTGGTGAAACGGAAGTTCATATTCTCTTGTGTTCATTAAAGAGGGAGCTAGAAAGAAAGGTGACACTTTCTGTGGCTTAACAGGATAGCTCTCAGTCAGCTGGAAAGGTGGATACTCTGCGAAAAGGGGCAATAGCTATCCAGGGCTCAGGCCAAGGCAAAGAAGTGTTCCTGAGGAGCTGTTACTGGGTACAGAGGAGGCTCAAAATTATTGAATGAGACCCCGGAGACCTTGTTTGACTGGACTTTTCCATTTTGCCGCTGGCTCCTACACTGTGTTTAGCTTTGCAGCTGTAAATATAATCTTTGTGTAGTTTTATTGTACATGTAACTGTCTAGGATTTATGAAATAATATATAGTAAAGTGCAGTGTTGTATTAGGCCAAGCTGACAGTGTACGTAATTGAACATGATATATACATAGGACTGATTTTTCGAAGAAGGTAGAAACCCTGTAGATGGCAGTTTTGGACCCAGATTGTGCTACGTGGGTTGTATTCTGGCTCATAAAAATCTTGTATACAATTTTTGGCAACACAAACAGTTGAAAATGAATCAAACTACTATCTCTACTGCATAAATACAAATAGTCATCCAGCTATACTGATTATAAAGTCCTAGATGTGAAAGGAGTAATTGTCTTTATAGATACAGGCTGGTTTTATTTATTGAATGATTGCATTTTCTGGAGCTAGTTTTACATAAATATGCAGAGTAAATTATGCATTAGTTTGTAACTTAATGACAAAAATATATGCTGTCATGGTGGAAATTTGCCGTGAAATTCTTAATCTAAAAAGCCAGAGGAGGAGGGGTAGCAAAATACAGTGTAAAATAAATGTTTTTCTGATTTGATTTCTAGACCATTCAAAGAAAGTTTGTATCTATAACAAATGATTCAGTCAGCTTTCTTGGCGAAAGTCTACAGCGCATTGGAACAAAATTTAAAAGTTCTCTGGAAGTGATGATGTTATGTTCAGAATGTCCGACAGTCTTTGTGGATGCGGAAACGGTAAAAATCTCATCAACTTACATGTTGAAATATCTGTCTGCTTAAACATTTTTATGTAACGTACAAAACAATGTTTTAACGTTTGGAAAATAGCAATGCTCAAAAAGATTTTCAAAGGTTTGAATAAAATGTGTTAATTATATTTTTGCCTTTTAAAAGATTGCTCTCTAACATCCCTAATTGAAACATCTGAATAATTTTGGGATGTAAAAAAACCAAACATGCTTTTTATAATTAAAATCAGAAAGGAAATAAAATGTTAGGTGGCCACTATGTATCATAAACATTTTAAAACACAATTAAGAAGTGTATTTTCTCAAAAAATAACCTCCACCTGTAACAGTGAGCAGTAAAGGAACTTACTGAAACTAGGTATCACTTAAATTCCCTTGCTATTCTTTATCTTCTCTGCTTGTTCATCTTTATTCCGTATTCTTTGCACAGTGAAGAAAAAGGAATACTACTTATCTAGCAGCAACTTTGCAGTTTTAAATTGTATTTTTTATGTATGTATTCAATGATGCATGAGGAAAACATTCTACCTACAAATATACAATGAAAGCTTTGAATTGTTTGTTGTTATGCAAGTTGAAATCTTGGGTTATAATAAATATTAATGTGAGAAGTCAGCTAAGTGTTCAGCAGCTGTCAAAAAAAGCTGTGCTAGAATAACTAAGAGAAGAGACAGGAAAACAGAAAACACAATTGAGCGAATGTACATATCCCCAGTACAACTACATCCTGAATTTTAGGGGCAGTTCTTGTCCCCTGCTCTCAGAGGAAATACATTGGAACTGGAAAAGGTTCCAAGCAAGATCATAAGGATTATGAAATATATGGAATGGCTTCCATATAAGATATGAGTATGCAGGCTAGGACTTTCCAGCCCTTTAGAAGAGAAATCTGTCCACAGATGCCTTGATTGTCATGGAAAACTGATGGAAATTATTGTATTGTTGTCTTATTTGATGTTAAGGGTGATCAAATTAAGCTAGCTGTGACTTTCAAAACATACAGAACCAAAGATGGGGGGCTTCATGTGATATGTAATCAAACTGTGAAACCCTCTCCTTTTTTGCAGGGTCTGTTCATGTTTTTAAAAAAGCAACAAAATAAATTCTTGAAAGAAATAGCCCTAGATAGATTTTTGAATATGCAGAACAACATGTTGACAGAGGCTAAGAAAGCATTCTGGAGCAAGTGGGTCACCACATGCTTTGCCCTTCCTTAAGCAACTGCTATTAGATATTGTCAGATGGGGGACTGAGATAGACAGATCTTTGGCCTTAACCCAGCGTGAGACTCTTCTCTTGACCTGTTTTTTTTCCCTTGGTGCTAGGAGGCAGCTCAGCTTTTATGCTCTCACTTTAGAATACAGGGACTAAAAAAGCACGATACAGTTAGTGCATTTCAGGGGAACGAAGTGTAATGAGTTTTGTTTAACTTTAAAAGCAGTAGAAATTAACCAAAAGACATTTGTTTGGGATAAGAACTCACAGAAGAATTACATTAGTGTCTAGCTAGAACAGCATGTGTGTTTTAAAAAATAAATAAGTAAATATATATATAAATACAAATATTAAAAATGAATAATAAATATCATTTATATGCACACAAGTATACAGACTTGTGTGTATATATATGTGCATATGTGTTCACCTACACACATTAGTGTTATTACATTGGCAAATACTGTGTAGATAAGTCTTTCCTCTCCAAACGATTTAATTCAAATGAACCTACTTGTTTATTAGATTACTTCTCACCAAGAAAGAACGGTTAATCCAAAATAATGTTCATGCACAAATCTTTGGTTTCCTGACGTCTGCTCATGCATACAAGATTGGCATTTGATTCAAATTTGACCTTTGATTTATTCAGAAAGTAGTTTTCAGCAGAAAGATGCCCCCTTAGATCAAAGCATGGGTTCACAAGCGATTTGTGAGTGGCTCATGGGGTACCACTGATACAAGGTGCCCACCGACTTCTTTGCACTTTTATGTTATTGCACACCTGGAGTGCAGAGTGGCACCGTGCCACAGAGCCATAACTCGCTTCTTGGTTGATGTGGACACAGAGGTTGGGAATAGCAGTGTCTTAGTATGGTTGATGCACTTGAAAAACATTTAAGTGTCATTCCCACCCCTGCCTGAGCAATGCAGGATACTGTGTCTACAGTCTTGTGCTTGAGCTTTCAAGCTCACCTAGAGGTACCAGGTAACAGGGATTGGAGAAAAGTACAGAGCTCTTAATGTGTGCAAGGGGTGACCAACGTGAGGGACAAAGCATCGTGTTAGAGGCATGATTATTACAGGAAGTGACAGGAGAAGGATTAATAAGAAAAAACTAAGTGGAAATAAAACTACAGGGAGAAATGATGTGGAGGAAAGCTGAGGTAGCAGCCCCTGAAGGAAAAACAGATTTTGAAGTTATATCGAAAAAGGCAAAGTCATTAATGGTAGAAAATTCTTCAAATATCCAACAGTTCCTGCTCTGACAGTTCCTGGTTCCTACTGACTGAAGCCTTTGCTGGTGGTGTAGTTTGTATATTGAGAAGGGCAAGTAACCCTCACTAGACAGTCCTTAGGTTGCTACAGGAGAAATCCAGCAGTACCTTTTTTCCTGCTGCAGTCGATTCTTTTTACACTAGCTGTGTGTATATCAAATATTATTATTTTTGAAAGATCTAAAAATCCCTTTGAAATCTCTCTTTCAGATGCTAACTAGGTACTGCCCTTCTTATTTTGGAATCAAAACTGTTGTACACTGATTTAACTGATACATCTGTGTTAGTTAGTTCACTAACTCAAAGGTGTCACAAACGATTTGTACCCAGCTAATTCTAATTTGATTGTTTTTACAAATGTGGACTTGGAATTCCATATTATATAATTTAGACTGTACGGATTATAGTCAGATGTTACATGACAATAGAGGTGATTGCTTTTATCTTTCAGCTAATGTCTTGTGGCCTGCTAGAAACATTGAAGTTCAGTGTTCTAGAGCTCCAAGAACACTTGGATACCTATAATGTCAAAAGAGAGGCAGCAGAACAGGTGAGTCTCTTGTATTTCAAAACAAAAAATATTAGAACCTATTCATCAAGAAAATGTTGCAGGTCAACACAAGTATTTAAAAGGAAATTATGAGAAATAAATTCTGAAATGAAATCCTGTTTCCTTTTCTTACTGCTATTCTATGTATATAATCAGAACCTGAGGTTTTTCTTCTGTGTAATTCAATTTGTTGCACATATTTCTGAAGTGGAATTTGAATATATAGGATTGCACAAATACAGTAGCATTGGGGAAAGAGCATTTGTAATTTAGAAATACTCTTTTAAAAATATTCAAATATTTTAAACATGGATATCAATAAATCGTGGTAATTTTTTTCTTTATGAATGTTCTGGCTTATTTTATTAGACTAGAAGGGTGGGATTCACCTCTGGATTAAGATATTTACAGATAACAATTTATATGTGAATTAAGTGCCTTAACACGCAGAGTATTGAGTCAATACAATAAAAGAAATCAAGCAAGCAATGCATTTTATCTTAATATAGGTACTGACTTGTTGCTTAACTTAACAGGTCTTTAGGCTTCTTTTTGTTGACTGGATCTCCGCTGACTGGGTGCTTAATGGGCACTTAAACAGTCGTGTCATACATAGACATATAAATTTAGGTCTCTCATCCTCCAGCTGGGTCCCATGGAGGCTGACATTTCTGTCAGTTATTTAGCATACTACAGTTTAGTTTTCAAGGTATACATTAGTGGTTTTATCCTCTTTGCAAAGAAACACAAAGTTTTAAAGTTGAGAATTTCTGTAGCAAGGGTCTGTATATTTGTTTTTGTGAACTTTATGGTGAAGTTGAGGAAGGAAGATAATAACTTCAGAAAACTGAAACAGATGAGATTTCTATTTCAATAGCCAAAAGAAATCACGGATCTACGATCAGGTTTGCAGGTACAGGGAGGTAATATATGGAGGTTTTGCTGTAGAGAAAAAATAATTCCAAGGAAAATTAAGCATTGATTTGAAGGAACTTTTTACTAATTTCAGCAGCCTGTGAGGCCATGACAATGGCCATAAAGGCGAGTTTGAGTGATGTGAGAGAGAACCAGAATTCAAGCTGTGACGTCTGGGCAGAGCTGTATTTTGCAGCACAAGTGGCTTCTTGTTTCTTGATCACACTGAGTTTATTAGGAAGTGATGGCCTCTGCCTTGCAAAGATAGCTGACAGCTCATCTGTTGAATAGAAGAGACGTCCACTTTTTTGTGGAAAGGATCTCAAAAGAAACAGAGTTTCCTCAAAACCAATGCTAAAGTATGCCACACCGCACTGTTAATGTGGAGAAATTGTTTCTAGGATCCAAGCCAGCATTTCTGCAAAAGTTGCTGCATTTTTTGCCCTGCTCTGTGGTAGTAACAATTGTTTGTAAACTAACTCGTGAAGTCTAATATAATGAGCTACATTTTGCCATTTAGGCTTAATCAGAAACAAAGTGCTCATCTAATGACTAAGATTACCTTAACTTGATGTAATATTTAATGTCTGACAGTCTTCAGTGTGTAATGCTGTCATCCCTCCTAGGAGAAAGGAATGTATTTTATTCCTCATTTTAGAGAGCAACACTGAGGCACAGAGAGGCTGACTGATTTGCCCCGGGGTCAGATAGAAAGATTTGAGGCAGGTAGAGAGGGACTCACACACGCGTTTGTGTGCGTGCATGAGTTAAAATTGTGTCCCTTTCAGAGGGCCATGAATTCACTTCTTACGTTTTTAGCTAATTTTGCACTGCCACATATTCAACATAAATCCATGCTGGATATTCAGAGCTTGTTTGCATTCTGTTTTACTTGATAAAGGAATATGGATATCAGTTTGATGGCCTCTGTCATTATATCATAGTGAGAGAGTGTTGTTTTTCTGTAGTGCTGCTGTCAAAAGGGTGTCCAGTAACATGTTTCTCTGGTCAGCCTGTCTTCTGCCACAGGATTTGTGAGTGACTGGACCAGGAAAAAGGATGAAAGGAATTGTTCTGAAATAGCTGAGAACATTTTGCCAGGGTTTTATTTTTATTTAAGCATTTACAAATAGAAAGGAGGAGTACTGAGGAGGAAGAAATTTATAGCTTTGACCAATCATTTCTGACTCTTAGCTTGTCATTTAGCTAATTTAGTGCATTATTTAAGTATAGCATGTTAATTAAGAGATAGTGACTAATTATCTCTGATAATTTATTTTTCTAAAACTTTTTTTAAAAGTATTTCTTCAGCTGTTGGTCCTCATTTTTTTTGGGTGTGTATTATACAGTATATGTAGACTAAGAATTTTACAAAGCTACTTCTCAGATATGTTTTACTGGTTTCTCTTGTCCTATTAAACAGAGTATAGGGAATGACTGAAAGAGACTTCCTCAAGTCAAATCTGAATTTCTGCTATTGCAGGCAATTGTGCTATGTATCCTATTCAGCCTGAAAGTATTAAGGCAAAACACATAATAAGCTCATTGCAGATCCTTGCTTTTTTCATAGAAACATGCAGAAAAATGATCAAACTAAGCTGGTTGGGCTATTGTATAATAAAGTAAATATAAATTAACTGATATTTAAATAAATATAATTTGCAGGTTAATTTGGTGTCCTCTAGAATCAACCACTGGAAAATTCTGTACATGAACTTCTTTAATGAAAAATTGTTGTTTAAGGTTTACCCTAATAGATGATGTTTGTTACTATTGGTGCTGTGTCTTGTACTGGCATTCATGTCAATCTAATTTAAAAAGAGACTTGGGCTGCAGTTGCTTGGAACTCTTACCTATGCACTGAGATGAGAGAGAAAGGTATCTATAGTATAAGGGGTGGTTTGGGATGTCTGTTCTGGGGTTAATCTGGCAAACCAACCTGTGCCATGACCAAGATGAACCACAAACTTCCCTGTATTATGCTTTCAGTAACACTTTTCACCCTGTAGCTTTTTAGGGGATATGTGGGGAAAACATAAATTGATATGAAGCAAACGTATAAAGAAGATTATTTTGTCACACAATCTACTGCTGTTCCCAAAGAGAAAATACAGGTCTTTCTACCATGTTGAACATACGTTCTGTAAAAATTTTTAGGAAATTAAATCTGTCACCTTTTTGGAGCTACAGTTCTGTTTCCTTGCAAGGAAACTGCTTTGACTTCATGTGTGTATTAGGGACAAAGATACTGAATCAGATAAATGTAATAGAAAACATAAGGTTATATGTATATCATAATATTCTAGGCACATCCTTTATTCAGACTGGTTTTAAGATTTTAAAAAGATCTTAAAAGGGCAGTGTGTGAAAATAATACTAGCCTCCCAACTGCTGATGCTCTTTGTTCCAGTGCAAGCCTATTCCACTGTTACTGATGAATGCTGTCAGATAAAAATAAAAATGTGATTTGCTGTGTATGTTGGTATCCATGTCACTAATTGAAACTGACACTGTGGTGTTCAGAGAATTCCATTTCTCCTCTTGATAAGCACACAGGCCTAGTTAATTCACTAAGTAACCTTTATTAAATTGAGCAGATGGGAAATCACATTTTTCTTTTTCTTGCATTAGACAAAGGTTAGAAAAAGGTCACCAAGATTTCCTGTGAGACTCAAGATATCAAGCACATAGTATGCTAAATTATTCTTCCTTGGATGTATAGAGCCTGTTCTTCATTTCAGAAGATAATCTGCACTTTATCTCAACATGATGCATTCCCATTTCAGTAATACCTGAATCACCTCGTGCTTGCAGTTGTTTGCACTGTACAGAAAAATATCCTGGGTACTGTGTTGATGAGCTGATCAGATTGTATTGTCCAATAAGAACATATTTGATTCTGCAAATGCTTTATATTAACACTTTTAAATGTGCATGGTTGGTTAAAGCTAGAACTTACCCACTGAAATTAATAAAAACCTGTCTGCTATAGGAACTGGGGTTAAATACAGCCCTGTGTTCGTGAAGGAGAGTGGAATCTACATGTTTGCATTGTGTAATGTGAGAATACTTCATCTCCCTGGTTTGTGTAACTGGAAGTGATGCTAAACACCCATTTAAGAATTTATTTTTTTTCTTTCCATCCAGTAAACGTGCACTTAGATCTAGTTACACAGGAGAGCTCTATTTCCTTCTCTTTCTAAAGTAGTCCCAAGAAATATAACAGGCTTACTCTTACTCTCCAATTTGAATTAGTGCTATATTTTAAATGCTGAGAAATCATGTTGGTGTGAACCTTGTGCAGCAAGTAAAGAGAAAATATGATCTCATTTAATGAGAGGGATTTTTCTGCCTCCACCCTCCCACACGTCTCACTATAACAGTACCCAAATTCAATTACGGCTTAGTATTTACACTAAAGTGGGCTGTCCCCATCTAGGGTAACGAAGGCTACAGGAAATTTAAAATGGAAGGGACAATAAAAACTACAAAGTTATATATCAGATTGGAAATCATTAGTGAAAACAACATTGGTAAACAACTGATTTCATATCACATTTTCTTATGTGATCTGAGAATGTGCAAGACTTGATTAAGTGTGTTACGCAGTTTGAGCAGTCTTCAGTTTGCTCTGTTACAGAGTATGTTTAATCTTGTTTATATTTATTTTGCAGTGGCTAGAAGACTGCAAAAGAACGTTTGGTACTGATGACGGTATTCATGGCACTAACACAGATGCCCAGGTAGGTGTATGTCATTTGTGAGTCTCTGAATATGAGATTAAAAAACATCTTTGTATCTGTTGCACAAAAACTCCAGTATTTGCAGAGTTATTAAAAATATATGAAAAGCTTTTCATTTCAGTTATCATACTATCTTTTGGAAACTCAGATTCTTATGAAGTAGTGATCTAATAAAAAAGGCTCTTTTTAATAAAAGTTGGCAACCCGTTTTGGGTTCTAGACTTAATAACACTGAGTAGATAAGCAGTCTAGATACCATCTGTGTACCAGCAAGTCTGCTTTTCTGCAGCTGTTTCTAAAAGAAAAAAGTTAAGCATTGTGCTTATATGCTCAGATAAACTGTCTAGCCAAAAACCGCTACTGAATTTAATACAATTAGTACTATATAAATACATATGACCTTTCTGGAGTCATAATTTGGGTGGGGAGAAACAGGGAGTAAAGTAGCAGTATGGCAAAAATCTCATTAAATGCTTCTGTCAAAATATCATCTAACAACAATAGGTGAAGTAACCTATTAATATTAGTACAATATTTTATATGTATTTGCATGGCAGTCATCCATGTTTAATGTTACTAATTGCTATAGTAAGTGATAGGTTTTCCCCAAGTAAACCAGGATGGTTTTTTTTTCTTTAAACAATAGCTGCATAATATTGACACTGTAGATAAAAAAAGCAAATCCAAAACCTATCATCAGTAGGTCCAAGGAATGTGCCATCTAGAGTCCTGTATTAAGGACAGTGAAAGGTGTAAGAAAGTAGAATTGCAGATAGCAGATGAACTTTTCACAGTGATGTTTTCACAAAAATCCCAAATCCAAGCTGAAAAAGGAGGAATTTTATTCCTTTTTTTCAGTCGAACTCTATTCATTGATGCACTCGGTCATGTTTCTGCTGCTCAAAATGCAGTGTTTGGCAACACAAATGTCTAATGTGTGCATGGACTGTTTCTTCTTTTAAATAGTTTTAATTTGCTTTCATATATATATATATATGTGTATTTTTTAATTAAATCACAAAATGCACCTGATTTTTTACAGTAGTGAAACATGCAATAATATACTGTTGATTTTTATATTGCATCAAAGCTGCACATAAAAAAAACCCATGTAAATAAGCATAGGCAATACAGCAGAATAACTTGCTACCGTTTGCAAAGATTTTTGCATTGCCTATGAACACAACAGTTTTTTGCACTTGGCTTACATCTTTGTATACTGACTGGTACATGTTTAGAAATGTGCAACAACATTTACTACTACAATACAAAAAAAATGTTCAATATATAATTAATAGGGACGGAAATACATAAATGCTGCTTTTTTTAGAATGTTTATATACACAAAGAAACTTTTCTAACATTTAATTGTTAGAACATAACCGTTCTTACCATGAAGGTAAATGTTACTGTTCCCACTGTGTAGCTAGAGAAACTAAGAAATGGAGGGAGAGCCACATGCAGACTTTCATGTACCTTATATGTAGAGAATGCAGGATTCCAAGTGAGGCAGTTTTGTCTGTTCTGCCCTGTTTCTGCAGGGTTTGAAGATAGCCTCTGGAAAGGAGATATGCGTCCATTCACATTGATTATTTGTTGGGACCTGTTTTGACTTTGGTTTCCAGTCTTAGCCTGCAAAGCATGGTTGCAATTTTTTCTTTGTGCTCCTTGTATTTGCAGGTTCAGTTAAAATAATTTTAAAGTATAGTATCCACTGAGAAAGCAGAGTCCTGTTATCCTGCTTCATAAATACACACAATTTACAGAAGTTCTAAATTAATTCACAGAAGCTTACAGTTACCTGAAGGAGATTCAGTAGTTACCAAGTGTTAAGAGCATTGTTTCAAAAGTCCTTGTAAATGGAGTGTGGGACTGATAAGTCTATCCAGTTAATGCTAAAAATATCTAAATGTTCTCTTGCTCAGGAAAACAAAAGGTGCTTCATTCAACAGATATTTTTCATTCACTAACACAAATAAGATTTTCTTACCAATTTTTAGCACTGTGGTCAATACCACTAAGGAACAGTGAAGTGAGTTCTATTCTGGCTCATGCATTGCCAGCAGACTTGCAAGTAAATCTAATTATTGGATTTTTGCTATGAGTACTTACCCACAAGCCTGGAAGAATGCATCTGGGCTCTGGCTAGACTGTTTATTCAGGACTCACAGGTAGAAAAAAAATCTCGAGTGAGCAAGTATGTGAAGGACACTGAAGCCATTTTTAAAGGAAGCCATTTTTAAAGGAAAAATTCTCTTGCATTTTTAGAATAGCTGTCAAGGTGTGATTTTGGGGGAGAGGGATTATTTATGGCTTACAGTAATAGTGAGACTTGGCTAAAAGAATACTGGAACTTAATAATCAACCCTGACATTCCTCAAAGTCTGATTCTCTGTTCTTCATTAAAGTGAGTTATAGAATTCTTGTTGACTTTGGCAGTTCAAGATCTTACCTCTTTGTAGTGTTCTGTGCATCAGAAGTTTTTGGTTATATAATAATTGTGCTGTGTGTATATATGATATACATGTACATGATAGCACAGAGTACAGAACAAAGGCATGCAATGTTTATAGCCTGTTAAGCACATAGTGTATAACTTGCACTCATCGTGTATAACTGTGCTTCGTGAAGTTCAACTGTTTCTGCCTGTTGGAATCAGACATCGGTTTCATCTTCATATGTTTACTGCGACCACTGCACTTCCATAAATGCAGTACGCTGATCGCCGGACAAAGCACAGACATGAAGTTCCTGTCCCGAGTCTGACATAACATTTTCTGAAAATTTCTTTCCAAAATGTTTTTTCTGAAGTAGCTTGTGAAAATAAAGTGCAGTTAAATTACAGAAATCTCACCATGAGGTGTTGAGAATTGAGTTTAATAAAAACAGGAATTTCTAAACCAATTCAGAATCTAAGTTAACATTACATCTCAAATTTTAAAAGGCATTATGTTTCCTTAAACTACAGCAGTACAGAACAAGTAAGAAGCATTGTACAGATGTTCACACCTAAGTGTCCTTGGTTTTGATTTCCTTAAATTTGCATACCTTTGAGTGCACAATGTATAAAGACCAGACAGGATTGTAAATGAAGTATGTCACTCATATTCTTGGACAACAAAGCCAATGCCATTTATTGTTAGTTATAGCAGCAAGTAATTTCACTTCAAATTCAGTCTTTTAATTTTTTCCATTCAGGGTATATTTAGAGCATGTTACTTGTGTTTCTTCCTCCCATTTTACCTGGGACATCTTTTACCCTAATTAAAATTATTTCCTACACTAATTCTTGATCTTTTTTTCTTTCTTTGTATTTTTGTGACCTGCTCATCTTCTTGCTTAGCAAATGGAAATTCTAGCAGTAAGTGATGGTTCTTGATTTATCAAATACTTAACCATGCCAGTCACCAAACTGGTCTCCATCTGTGTCGTCCATTTGTGGCATAGTAATGTTTTGTCATAGACTATTACAAAAAATGCTGTGTGCTTCAATTTTGCATCATTTAACCCATTGAACTGTTGGTCCTTTGTAGATAATAGGATCCTGTAGTTAGTAGAACGTTATAGAAAATTATTCATTAGCACTAGCTTTTATGTCTCTTTGTAAAGCAGTATGAACACTGTTTGCTCTTTGACTAGTGCTTTAGATGCATAAAAATGTAAGCAATGCAGTACATAAGTTAATGCTGCTGTTTAATTTCCTTAAGAATGTATTGTGGTATTTTCTAAAATAGAATCAGAGTTACCTTTTATAAAGGAAACATTATTCTTGCCTCGAAGAATGGAATTATTCTCCTCTTACTCCATCAGGCAGTTGTAAGCTAAGGGACAGGTTATATACTGTGCTTACGTATTTATATTAATGTTTATGAAAGATTCCATATTTACAGACCACAACTGCTTCTTTTGGATATTAGATCTTGAATTTAAACCAGTAAAATATCAACAATAAAAGTAAGCGATCTATTAAACTGTGCCTCGGAACATGACATTTCAAAATGCCTTTTGAATAATTTTACATCCCACCCCACCCCCCTTCTTGGAAATGTAACTTATTATTAAAAAGTAAACTTTAAACCTATGTGAGAGAGGCTACATGTAAATCTAGCACTGAATGAAGCTTTCACCTGCTTTTCATTAGCTTCCTGCTACATTAGCTTCTAAGTCTTCTTGGCATTTTCTTCAGTAACCAAATAACTACTTTTAATTTTGCACATTCTGTACTGAAGAAGTTGTCATTTATTGTCTCTTGTATTGGACAGTAGATGTTTTGCACTTCCTGAATATAATAATGTTGTTTACATTTGTAGGAGCTGGAGTTGTGTCGGAGGCTATACAAGTTGCATTTTCAGTTGCTGCTTCTGTTCCAAGCCTATTGCAAACTTATCAGCCAAGTAAAAGCAATCAAAAAAGAAGCAGAGGTAATGAAAACCATGCCATTTAACTACTAATTGTGGACATCTTAAAGCCAAACAATTTAAAATACATTTTGTTAACATTTTAATCAGTGGGACATCTTTTTAGAAACTGAAGGAGGTTACCAGCTGTTTTATAGCCACTTAATAATAAAAGATTTAAGTAGAGCCCACAAGAATTTTCTGAGAAGTTTAATTATCTGTGTTGATTTTTGTACAGCTCGAAAGCTCTTAAATAAACAAGAATGCAGGGAGTCCAGTGATGAGGTTTTTAAATATTTCAGTAGTGCTCCTGGTGTATTCTAATCAAGCTACAATCAAGGCACACCAACTCCAGTCAACAGAATTCTGTGATGAAGCCCCTTTCCCTCACCCCAGTGTTTCTAATTGCAAACACCATCACTTGCTACCAGCTGATTTATGTAACTGCATCACTTTGGCCACCATTCAATTACTCTGCAACCTTAGTCCCCATCCTAAGTGCAGTTAGTAATGCATTCTAGACATCTTGTGCCTGATTTCCAGTTGTACTAGCTTTAGAAGTAAAATGTGTCCTTCAGCTGTGCACTTGTGGTACATATGTGATGTTCATTGAGTTAATCCGAATGCATTATTCTATTAATGATGTCTTCTGAAAGTTCTCCCCTGGGTCTCTAATGCAATCAATAGAGGGAGCAGGAAAAAAAATAGGCCTGGTCTTGCTTGATATAGTAGGAATGAAAATGAAAAAGCGGAGTGAAATTCTTTGGTTTTCAAGTAGCTTTTAGGGAAAAATCGTGCATGTTCCTCACTTAGATTTCCAGATTTTTGTAGAGACTGCAAAGAAGTGAGTTCATTTCTGTCTGGAGATGTTGTAGAAAGTCAGCATCACACCTGTCCCACTTCTTGCCTAAGTTAGTCAGATGTAGAATCAAATTCTGAGCAATGGCTTTGTCTTTTACTCATATATTGGAGCTAAAGCCAAAGATAGTGTTACATACATTGGCTGCGCTACAGTTATTCTGCTGGGTTACCAGTCTCCCAGATTTTTTCTTCATATAGCAACACAATTGCTGTACTTTTCCAAAGTGTTTAATTCTTCTTGTCAGCTTAATTGTTACTAAGTGATGTGGGGAGAAAAATGTATTTTTTGAAACAAACTTTAAAAGAACCAAGATGGAATCCTCATCAGGGGAAAGCCCAAATACCTGGCGTGCACACTTGAGCCATTAAATTAGCTGTATAGTTAAGCAACTGCAGCAAATATTTGGATGTACTTTTTCTGCCTCTCATTTACGATTGCAAAGAGGAGGAAAAATGCAAGCCTGATGTGCTGAAAGTTAATTTGGCTGAAAATACATTTAAACTAGAAAAGCTCACTCTTACATTTGTTTTAGGTCATAAACATGTCTGAAGAACTTGCTCTTTTGGAGAGTTGTCTGAAAGAGGCTGAGGCTGCATCCGACAGTGGTATTGAAGAAATTGAAATTGCAGAGGCTTCCCAAGCTAGCACAGAAACAGCTATTCACTCTCTTATTGAAACCCTGAGAAACAAGGAGTTTGTGTCAGCTGTAGCACAGGTCAAGGTGTTCAGGTAAGTGCTGAAGGATTGCTTTCAGACCTCATGGGCCTCTTTAAATTAAAGACAGGGATAAGCCCTACTCCAGGTTTTTTTCAGCTCTTGCTAGATGTCCTTATTGAAAAGAACAAGCACAGTTGCTTCATGACAGCTTGTTCATACACAATTTGCAATTCAGAAAAAAGGCAATTCTAGTAGTACTTATTGTTTAGAATTTATCTCTGAGAGAATGGTACTGTTAACTATCAGGACTCTATGGAAGAAACATTTCTCTTGCATTTTCCTTTGTCTTCTGTTCAAATGTGTGTTTAAAGAACAAGACCATTAAAACATTTAATTTTTTTTTTAATGTCTAAATCCAAATTGTGTTTACACAGATCTATTTGGCCCCACGACATCTTTGGCAGTTCTGAAGATGACCCAGTTCAAACACTGCTGCACATATATTTCCGTCATCAGACACTTGGTCAAACTGGTAGCTTCGCAGTAGTAGGCTCCAACCAAGATATGTCTGAGGCCAGCTCAAAGCTGATGGAACTTAATCTAGAAATTCGAGAGTCTCTACGCATGGTGCAATCCTATCAGCTTCTAGGGAAAGTAAAACCAGGAATAAATCTTGTGAGCACTGGATTCTGAACAGCTGTCATTTAGAAAAGAACTGATGATGAAGACACTTCGGACTATTATTGAGCACCTTTCATTTAAAAAAGCAGAAAACCTCCAGCAATCCTGACAACCAACAGTTTCATCACAGCAAGAAATTATTTCATCAAAAGTAAAAATCTGAAAACTGAAATGAACATTTTACTTGACTGCTCTTTCTACACAGTAGCTGTGTGACAGTAGTATTTTTTAATTAAATTTATGTATAAAAACTACATGAAAGGAAAAGGGCTTAAATGTAATGCATACATATGCATTATTTTCTGTTGTAACAGAACTGTAAATGGTGTTTGCAGTAACAGCCTCTAAAGGTTGAATCAGTATTGCAGGTGGGATGAGGCTAAAATCAAGGCTGGTTTATTTTGGCTGAAGACCTGCAAGGCTTCCTAGCAGTAGTAGATATAATCATCAACTAATACCTAATGAGACACTTCGCAATGTCATGAAGAATGTGCAGTCAGACATGAGTTGAATGACGAACGACTGCAAAAACCATTGACCTCAATGTTTTATTTGCTTTTGTTGTCTGTAACAAGGAAATTATGTGTGTGAGTTAGAATGTATGGCTATGTGACAGTTGTTTTTTGAAGGTATGGATGATTGTTAAATAAGGTCTCAGAGCATGCTTAAAAGAGCTGCAAGATTATTTTTGAAGAAATTTTATTTTATTAGATCTAATCCTCATAGTGTGTAAATGTTAGGACATTTAATAATATTTTAAACTGGGATTTCCCAGTGTTTCTAAAAGAAATAATATATCTGTTAACTTTATTGGAATGCTGCTCAGTTCTCTGATCAGTGCTTATGTTACAAATATTGATAACAACTAACCAAAAAGTAGCTGCCTGCAGAGACTTTAAATTGTATATTAAAGATATATGCTGCCCATCAGCAATTCTCATTAGAAGTTAACTTATTTTATTCTGTATATATTCTAGAAACTGTATAGTGCAAAACCAGTATTTTTCTTGTAAATTTGTGCAATGCACTGTTAAGGCAGTAGGTGTATAAAGCTATGAGGGGAAGGGGCGGTTCTCCTGATGGGTAGTCACATACATTACTTGCAGTCTGAATGGTCTGCAGGGTTCAAAGAGTTTGAATGCACATACATGCATCTTCATGACTCAGCTTAAGCCTAAGGAATTGGGACTATATAGAAAAAAGACTGACTACCAAAACATGCAAAAAATATACACATAGTTCAGTGTCAAAGTCTGTAGCATAAAACAAACTGGATTCTGTTGAAACCAATAGCATTTTATAAAAAAAAATTAAAAAAGAAGAAAAAAAAAAGGAAAAAAAAGAATGTAGTCCCATGATTCCTGTGATTTGAAAGGAACACCCGGTATTTTTATATACATCTCTTACCCACTGTGATTTTTTTTAATGGGCTCTAATTCCAGAGTTTAGAATGTAGAACCTGAAATTCTTAGCTCTGCCTTTTGGGGGGAATTGGACCCCACTAGAGTTGTAATTATGCTGAAATGCATTAATTGAAGGCACTGTGCACGCTGTTGGACTGCTGACAGTAGTTATGTTATCCTAACAAGCTCTGTAACTGGTCAAGGCACATCCATAATCACTGTATTTTTTTTCCCCATCCCTGATAAAATTGAATTATATTTTGATGGTTTTGTGGTACTGTAGATGGTGTTCTTAATTATTTAATAAGTATTTACTGGGGATAAGTAGTTTTACTTAGTGGCGCATTACACTTTTATTTACATCATCTTTTACCAGCTTTTTTTGTAAAAATAAATGACATTGGTCTGTCACTTTGTGTATTTTTACAAGCTAGAGTTTAAATACTTTAGCTAAACACTGACAATAGAGGCCTGGGCACCCTGAATATTTTTTTTCCCCCCCTTTTATGCCCTGGCAATGCAACAGCATCTTCTGAAGCTGTTAAAGGAGTTCTAATCTCAAACCTGAATTTATATACATAATTCCTTAATTATACATCTTCCTCCATTCACAATGACTAGTGGAACCTGCCCAATGGAGCAGAATCGTGATAACTGGCTGTCTTTGATAAATGGCTTTAACTTTGAGGAACTTTTCCTAAATTACTCATTCTCAGCTACTTGTGCATAAGCTGTCACCCTGGTGCCAGGTTTATGCCAAAGCTGTCTAGAAACAAGCAAACGTCAGACATCTTCTGTAAGATGCAGCAAATACAGAACTGACTGAGCTAACACATGAAAAAGATCTCTTCATAAAAAAGCTGTACAGGGCAAGTTCAAGATATCTGTGAAGAAGTGGCAGCATGAAGACTGTTCCTTTCTGCTTTGCATAATCACATAGGTCATGAGTAGCTTTCCTTCTTTCTGCTGAGTCTAGGAACCCGTGCCCATGATGTGCAGCGTATGCTGTCAAGGACATGACAGAGCAGTAAAGTGGAAAAGGATACAGAACTGTACTTTGGCATCGAGCAGTAAAAGCATTGAATATGTTTATGTAAGAGGAATGACCTGCAGAGCTACTGCAGAACTGAGGAATGCTACAGGATGAATGAAAGCTTTTTAAATATCGCTGCCCACTGCACTCCCCTCCTCCAAGCCTCAAACCTTGCAGTAGCTGATGAAAGCAGGGATGGCTCTTTACCACTACCTGCCACTTGAAGCCTTTATCAACTGCTTGTTTGGACCAGTTGCTGTTGAGGCATGCCACACAGTTCAGATCAGCTAGGCCTGTTCTACATCTTATCAAACAAGCAACTGCTGCTTTGATTGCAGTTATCAGGGATGACAACCCTTTAAGTTGTAAGATTCACCATATTCACAGCAAGTAATCCTCAAAGCACTGCTTGCGAGGACATCTCTATAAATCAGAAGCACTTTGACTGCTCATATTGCTGTGAGCTGCTATACTACTTCAAACTGACACAGCCCAGAAGTTAAATTCCTCAAACTCATTAGAAAGGTGCACAGAGTCATCACAGTCAGTCTCCCACGCTGCATCCTCTGGGAAAAGACTACACCTGTTAGAATGGGGAAGGCAAACAGGAAAAGGTAATTGCAGAACATCCTTAGAGGGGAAATATGCTCAGAAATAAAGACATCACAGTTGCAGGGTGAGGCAGACCCTGGGTAGATGGCTGCACTGAGGGTCTCAGCTGTTCCTTCTCAGGCTGGAGACTTGCCTCTGCTCATTGCTGTGACTACAGGTGAGTGCAAGGCACACTCATCTGCAATAGAAAACTGCCCAGCTCTGGTTGTACTTTTCAAGTTGAACAGGACAAGGATGGAACTTACTGTGGAAGTCTGAGTGAGCTGATAAAGCAAGGGATATTACTTTCTACTGTGATACAGGAGAGAAAAAACACTTCAGGTGGAAGCACAAAATAAAACAGTATCCCATTCTGGGGGTGGTAGGGCTGCTTGTTCCAAGAATGCTTCATGCTGCTATAATAATAAATGGAGCAATAGTAAATAAAATTACATGGCAATGCTGAGTGCTGAGGCACTAAGCCTTAGTTACTGCAGCAAGATCAAGGGGCACATTAAAATAAAGCAAGAATCTACAGCAAGATGAGTTATGGCTACAGAATTAACACTCTCTACCCCTCTAAATGGACACTTGTTGATACAAAGAACAATGTTTGCCTACCTTGCCATACATGAGCTTCCATTTAGAGATGCAAGACCACCTGGCACTGACAGTGTTATACTCAGACTGGTTCCCCCTTTAATCTGTCTCAGGTAAGCTGGGTACAGGTGTAAATAAGTTTGTTATAGTCAAGATAAATCAGGTTTTTTCCAAACAGAAGTTACCTCAAGAGTTCTGCAAAAGGCTTCATGCATCATTACACTCAATGTCAAAATTCACAGCTTTATTAGCATTCTCAAAAGAGAATGTTTTCCTCTCAAGTTTACCCAACTCCTTGGCTACAGGGTAGACTAGGAGGGTGTAGGCTTTACTAGCCTGTGAATCTGCTCAGATGGTGATGCTGTAGTCCTAGAACCAGCTTGTAACACTTTGCTCAAGTATAGTGTCTCTACAAAAGCCATTACCACTGACAGCACCAGTAGACCTTGGAGAGCATTATCTGGGAAGAGCCATGCTGGTTCCACCATTACTACTGAACACTAGAAGTACAATTCCTAGTTGCAAACCCAGTCCCAGAAGGGTGCAGGAGTTTGATCCTTTCCCAATGGCAGACAGCTAAACCATAACTAGATGAAACTCTTCAAGTGTAAACTACTAAGTGCACAGCTCTTTGCACATCCCCTGCAGGTACCAGAGGAAGCCAGGCAGATGCTGTGTCATACTTTGAGCCTCTGAAGTGTCACTTCTCCTGATAACCTTGTGGAAGTAAAGATGGGCAGCTCGTTTACCAAGAAACCATAACATCAGTGACTCCCTTCCCCAGCAGTTTGTGAGAACTGTCCCTGAAGATGCATCAGCCATAAGCTTTCTTTGGCTTTAGTCTACAAGAGAAGAACACCAGCTTACCTAAATGCAGACCACCTGTACCAGCAAAAGTGACCTAGTTTGTACATAGCATTTCGCAATCATTTTCAGTGATGAAGAACAGGTGCAGGTGACTTTCTACATGGAGTAGAAGTGTGCACAGTAAGTGAATACAATTAGATGTTCATGAATTATGCTCTACCTACTGTAGATGTCAATTTGAGGTTAATTTAAAGTGTTTGATTAGTTCAAGGGTAGAAGCAGTAACAGACATCCTTTCCCACCTGAGATTCTACCAGGTGGCGAGTGAGTTGCTGCCAAGGCCATCAGTGATTTACAGAAGATTATTTGTGGGCTCTTCCCCTATGCAAGTTACAGAAGCTGCAACATGCACCCCTGGAGCTGGGCACAAACCCGCCTGATCATCTGAGCGTGCTTTGCTATACTTTTATTTGCATGCTTTCCCAGCTACACCTCACTAGGTACCTTCAAACAATAACAACAACAACAAAAAACATCTGCTCTACTTGCAGTTTTCTGGAAGAGCCCTAAACAAAAAAACCCCAACCATCCCACTTAGATGATGTATTTGAAACTGAACGTGCTGTCGCAGGAGAGGCGTTTCCCTTTGCATCTCCCACAGAGGTCCTGGCGGTGGGGCCTCTTGGGATCCACGTGGCGCATCTTCACGGGGCAGGTGCACCTCGTCTGCTTGCAGCTCTGGGGGAGAAGGCGGCGGTCGGCGGGCGCGGGCCTGGCCGGGGGGCAGGGCGGGCC